AAGCTACTTGAGGGGGAGAGGTGCAGAGCCAGATAAGGCCCTAACCTACCTGCACATGGATGCAGCACATCCAGGCCTCCTGGCCGCTCAGACCCACAGCACACCTCAGATTCAGACGCGCAGCAGCCCCACAGAGTCACCCTCTCTGGCCCAACCTGCACATCCAGGCACCCCACCCAGCACAACGCTCCAGGCAGGAGGGGGTCCCTCTCCCCCTGGCCAAGCGCCTTACGAAGACATACCAGGTCCTGCAGGAAGACAGTGCATGCCTCCACCCAGGCCCCCAAACAGCTCAAAGCACGTATCTGCTGGTCTGACAGGGGTGGGAAGGATACACTGGACACCCCCAAAGCCTCTGTTTGGGGCCTGTCATGCACGTCACACACTAGAACTTAAGGCTGGACTGGAGGACACCCACGGGGGTCCCAACAAAGTGAGTGTCACACAGCTACCCCGACAGCTGGCCCTGCATGGGTGCACCCTTGCCAAGATTCTGCCTGATTGCCCTCGAGATCGTGCAGTGTCTGGAGAAAGTGAGGTGCAAGCCGCCTCACACACAGCTGAAGATAAAAGCAAAAGGCACAACAACCAAGGACAAGATTAAAGTCAAACACACCTTCTGAGTTACAGAGGTGCATGCATTTATCAAAACTCAGCTACATACACTTGATTTGTTTTTTCATATGCAGATCTCGCTCAGAAGAAAAAGAAAATTAAACAACACTAAATTCTAGTTAATGGGGAGGGACTGTGGCACCCTGAGCTGAGATTTTTTTTGTAGCTGGTGATGAGCTTATAGATTGATTTTACTATTTTGTCTACTTTGAACATGGTTTCATGGTTGAAATATTCCCTGATAAAAAGTTTAAAATTCACAAGCTAACATGAGATGCCGTGTTTTAACTGACCGGACCAGCAAAGATCAAACACGAACGGCTCCCTAGTTGGTTAAGGATGAAAACCAAGCACCCCACACATGCCTGGTGGTTCAGCCTTTGTGTGGAGTGGACACATCCCCTGACCCAGCAAGTCTCCTAAGGACTTGCCCTACAGACTGGCCCTCAAACGCAAGAAACACTGTCCGCATGAGACCACTCACTGCAATAACGAACAGCAAGAGCTTGGTCAACCGAGAGATGCCAGTCGGCAGAGACCCAGGGGGAACTCATGGGAAGGGGCCTCGGGCAGGAGGGAGGGAGAGAACGCTCTCACCGTGGGACGCCTCATGCCTCTGAAGCTTGAAGCACATGTACGTGTGACCCACCCAAAGAATAACCATCTAAGAGCCAACACCAAGCTCTCCTGCAACACCCAGGCACAGCTGCTCCCTGACACACTGCTGACCGGGGGTCCTCCTGTCCTAGGTTAGCTCTCGTCCCTGGAGTGCTGGCCGTGGTGCTGAGGGACCTGTTGTCCGAGCGAGTCTGGGCAGGCCGGGGCGGGGCGGGGATACTCACCGTGATGACGTCCAGGACGCTGAGAAGACTGTGGACGCTGTCTCCAGCTAGAACCTCTTTGACCACCACCTCAGTGCCATCCTGCACTTGGGAAGCAGAGCAGAGTCATCCACTGTGTGAGGCCAGGCCAGACCCAGACCAGCTGGGCAAACCAACTGCTACCACCGCTGCTCCAGGGGGGCAGAGGCCACTCCGAGCAGACTTGTGGGAATGCGGTGTGAACAGCTCAAAAGCAGAGGGCAGAAGAAATGAGGATGAGGCACAGGAACAAAGAAGCCAGCCCAGGACGGCCTCTCGGCCCCATGGCTTGTCACTGCTGGGTCGATTGCCTGAGTGAGTTTGCTGGCCTAACTAAAAGAGCTGTGAGAACCAAATTTAGTTATTCTCAGCATAAATAATAGCATTTTGACATATCATTCCTCTGGATTAAGTGAGAAAGAAAACCCTGCAACGCTGATGATTTAATACAAGAACTTCATCTCAGTGCAACCCAGGAAAACCCCTCTGAACTTGTTCAAACCCAGCACTGGTCAGTGTCCATGAGCCCTTCCATCTGGCCCAGAGGCTCGGCGTTTGTGGGGAAGGCCTCCCAGCTGGATGACACTGAGGCCCCATCTGGAGGCCATTTCCTTTCTAATTACCCCATTAGGTCGGCGCAGACAAAGCTGCACCTGTGAAAACCATGCCCTAACAATGCCATGTTGAGAAGCCCGGAGGACACACAGGCGCCCTCCTGGGTCAGGGCCCCTGGGGCCGGCAGGTGGGGACTTTCAGGAGGCCCGGGATTCCCTAAGTGTCTATGGCGGGAAGCCTGGGTTAGTTCCCGCCTGGAAAGCCACACACCCTTAGCAGGCCTGGCCTGGAGGTCACCCCCTGGCAACTGTGATTCACGGGTATAATCCCACAGAGGTAGGAAGCAAGAAGTCAGCGTCCAGCTGAATTAACACTCAATTATTTGATGAGAGTTAAAATTAATTATAATCTGAAGGCTGAAAATAGGCCAGGATGTGACCGATCATGGCAGATCAGCACTCAACCACTGAGGTTTCCGAGGACGTGGGAGAGACTTTTCAAAACGCTTCCAGCCTTGGCAGTGAAGTGCAGAGGTGAGCCCGGCACGCGGAAGCACGTGTGCAGGCGGAAGTGAGAGCGCCCATGGCAGCAGCTGCGCCCTACCTGCGGGTTGGAGCCTGCCTTCTCCCCACAGAGCTAAAACTTGAAGTTTTGCACTAACCTGTCAATGGAAAACAGAAACAAGTTTGAAGCTGGCCGACCTCCGAGTGAACACACGATAGACCCCTAGCCTGCCCGCCAAGCCCGAGGCCCTCACCGTGTCCTGGGTGCAGACTTCCAGCCGCCCGTCCTGCACCACGTAGACGCTGGTGTCTGGCTCCCCTGGCCGGAACACATACTCCCCTTCGAGAAGCTGCACAAAGACCATGTGTTTGCAAAGTTCCAGGAACAGAGGCTTCTCAAAGTGACCCAGGACCCTACAAGAAACAAAGCGCACGTGGGACACCTTCCGGGAAGGAGGGAAGGAGGGGGAGGAGGGGGAACAGGCCACCCACCCTGCCGGCCAGACCACAGAGCCAGCTTTCAGGGTCTGCAGAGCCCACAGCACAAGCGCCTGGAATCACCATCAGGGCAGAAGCTCAGACTCAGGAATTCCCCTAGCCATTTTCCCATCAGCTCACAGAACCCTCTAGCCACGACTGTGAGCTGGAACCAGACGCACAACCAATGGCCGGGAAGGAAGAGCCAGCGGAGGAGGGTGTCCAGGGAGGCGGGGGCCAGACGCTTGACCTCCCATCAGCCACGTGCTTCCTGCACTCCCTGCGCCCCCCTGAAGATGAAAACGCCAACAAGCAACAGACACAGAAAGAAGAACCAACCAGGAGGCTCTGCTCACAGCCCGGAGGGCAGACACGGCAAGAGGAGAGGAGCTTTGCCTACCGAAGAGAGAGATGTTCACATACTGGGGTCTGGGGACGCCACTCTGGCTTATACGTGAGTCAACGTGAATGTGACACTGACCACAGCAGCCTGCGTGTAGCCCATCCAACAAGCACTGTGCATCTGCTTTCATTATTAAAGGAAAGGGTCAGAGGTGAAGGGCATCCAGGCTGAAACTAAAGACCAAGTGCCCTTCTTCCTGGGACGCCAGTGCTGGCCCCCCTTCGATGCTGACTCCCTTCCGGGTGCCAGGGCCACACCGACTCACTGTGTCGTGTTGAGGTGGTTTTTTTGAAACCTTGAAGGAAAGTATCCCTGACTTATTTGATGTTCTTTACTCTGACAAGGCATAAAACTGTGCTGAAAACTATGCTTCTCTGGAGCAGCTCCTCAGAGTTATCTGTGAGGCTGTCTTTCCGGCTACAGTTCTCAGGTTGGTCTCAATAAAACTGTTTTCTATTCCTGTTACAAACTGTTTATTGATCACTTTCATTGACACAAGCCACAGGGAAAGGAATCCTCGGAGGCCAGGCCAAAGCCAGTCCCCTGGCACAGCGCAGGCACACACAGGCCTCCTGTGTCCACCTCCTCTCTTACCGAACATTTTTCAGCATGTACAAAACTTCTGACGGCAGGTGGGAGTTCTTCACGTCAAACTCCGTGAGGTCGGCCTCCAGCAGGGAGGGCGGGGGCTCCTTTGGCTGCAGGGTGGGGTATTCCTTCTTGAAACGTAGAATCCTACAAGATAGAGACAGGTGCACCTGGAGCAGAAGCCCACAGGGTTCAAAAGCAGACAGGGAAGCCGCAGGCAGGACATGTGTAGGCTCACTAGTGCCCATGGGGGAAGGCGGCTGGGACGAGATGTGGTCTGAAGGGCACTCCCAGTACCTCTTGGCCAAAGACAGCACCTTGGTCCTCTTCCTCACCCGCTGCCTGGGGGCAGGTGTGCTCCCCACAAGTGTGTGGGGGAGTGTGGTCACCTGCAGGGTGAAAGGGGGAGGCCAAGTCTGCATCCTGCCACTGGCCAGATCCAATTCTCAGCCTCAGGGTCAGTCCCAGCCCTCAGGACCTGCCCCACCTCTAGGCCTGACGCCAGCCTCGAGGTCTGGCCCCACCCTGCCCACCTGCCAGGAGAAGAGAACTATCCTTGGTGCTGTTGACAATGATGCTGCATAGCTGTGTCCCCAAACAGCCAGGGCTCTGATATCCCGGTCCCCAGGCCTGTGTCCCCTTGGCCTGAGGTGGATGCTCCCTACCTCACACCCATCAGGCTGGCATGGTGACCCCTCCCCTCCAACCCAAGTGCCCTGGTCTGGAAACCTTTTCACACTTCCTTATGGCCAAGGCCCAGTGGACTGCCCTGAACATGGTGCTGAGCAGCACAGAGGGCCTGGCCCCAACCTGGGTATTGGCTGGCACCCTCGCACAGCCACTGCCCCCTGCTGTCCCTCAGCTCCCCGTGGTGCCAGTTGTGGTTGTCGGGGTGTCCTTCCCTCCAGGGTGCCCCAGCACCTTAGCTCAGCCAGCTCACTGCTGCACAGGCCACAGTGGGACCACCAAGGGACAGATCCCCCATCCAGCCACACACCAGGCCTTTGAGACCTGATCGGGGTCACTTATGTGGCCCTGCCTGAGCCTGCGGCAGGCCCGCTCACCATCCCTGCACCAGAGCTGGCCCCTGCCACACGGAACAGGCTGCAGGAACCACAGCCTATCAGCGGCTTCCACTGAGCGTCCCTGCCCCTGCCTGACACTGGTGAGGGTCCATGAGAGCACACACCCAGGACCCCTGTCTGATAGTTCAAGTTCTCTGCAAAGAGCATGGATTGACCGGATTAACCGAGTAACCTGAGAAAAGTAGCAAACAGAAGATATTTGTAATAGCAGCAAATATTGTAAGCGTGCACTGTAAGCACAGTGAGGCTCAGGCAGTCTGATGAGCCTCTTCTGCCCTCAGTGGGTAGGAGGGGGCTGGGGCCAACCAGCAAAGTCTGTACCAGGTTGCTTATCCCCAGGACGGGTGCCTGACACTGGAAAGTGAGGCCCTGCAGCTGCCACCTCGTGGGTCCTGGCCCTAAATCCTGGCAGGACGACCAACCCCAGCCCCGGAGCCAGGCCCCTCTGTGCCATGCACTCCAGGGAAGCTCCCGAGAGGGGCTCTGCCCTCTTTCCCAGCTCATGTCCCCTCTCATCTCCAAGGCTGCAGCCCAGACCTTCCCAAGCTCTGGAGCCCCGCGCAGCCCCAGGCACAGGCCAGCAGGAGCCAAGGTGTCTGAGGGGTGGAGGCCGGGGTGCTGCAGGAGGAGGGCGGCTTATGTGCCGGGGCTGCAGCACCAGTTACCTTTCTCATGATCTTCCTGCCGTAGAACATCACTTTGTCTCTCTTCCGGAACCTGTACTGAGGAGTGGGCTGCATCTGTCCTGCAAGGGGAGCCAAGGGGCCGCCTGAGCCCAGCCGGGCCGCCGCAGGGCAGCGCTATGCAGGTTGAACTTGCTCTGCCCCAGCGGCGCCACGCAGCATCTTGCCCCAGGGCTGCGACACACCGTGCAGAGGAAGCGGGAACTGTGTCTCTTCTTGCAAGTGACAGCCAGGAAAGTTGAGAACCGACTCAAAGTCTCATGGATTCGATGTGCTCAGCCTCAGCCTGGACAGGCCAGCAGTTTCCGACAAATGCCACCACAGGCTTGAGAGCTGCCAGCAGCAGCTCAAAACATGTGGCAAGTCACCCAAACCTCCCCCATCCCTCCAAGCCCTCCTCCTCTTCCCTCCAGAGCCAGAGTCTGAAGCAAGATACTCACGGAATCGGCTAACCCTTCTGTATACAAAAAAGATGGTGATGCCAACAAGAGTCAGGGCCAGGAGGACTCCAATGGCAACCCCCACCAGCTGGGCGAGATCAGACAGAGCACCCATCAGCAAGGCCGCCGTGACCCTCCCAACCCCAGCTGGGCACAAAGGGCCCCGAGAAGCCAAGGGTGAAACAGGCCGTAGGTCCCGGGGCCCACCCGTCACCCAGAGCACGTGAGGTGGTTACCATGGTGGACTGGGAATGCTGCTCCGTCAGCTGCAGGCCCCAGGACCAGAGGGTGGCCCCCAGAGAGAAGCCCTCCTGGAGGAGAAGGCTGCCATCAGGGAGGGCCGGGACTGGCACAGCCCTGACCTCCCAAGGCAGTGAGAACAGAGCTGTGTGTAGGGAGAAGTCAGCAGCCCTGGAGTCCTCCAGAAAGAGGCCACCTTCCAGGATGCTAAGGCCCTCTAGCACACCTGCTCAGGGGAAGGGCACCCTGGGAACGGCTGGGGCCAGCCGTTTGTCACTGTGCTGCAGTGACAAACGCTCTGGGCATCATCAATGCATCTGAGTCCTGAATCCTCAGCTTTCCAGGTCCTTAGGCACAAGTCCAGAGGAGTGAGCCCAGCCGGCCACAGGGGGTGCAAGGGCCACCCCTCAGTGCCCTCTGGTCACCAGCAGGACCACGCGCTGCTGGCCCCAGGCCAGACGGAAGCCCACACACCAGCAGGGCTGAGAAACCCCAAGGAGCCGACTGGATTTTGAGAACATTAAAGTCCAGCTCACAGCGGAGAAGGGCTACCAGGGAAGGAGTCAATGGGGGCTTCAGAAGTCCAGACCCCAGGGAGGGAGGGAGGAAGGTAAGCGAGAGTGACTGTGGGATGGTGAGTGGACACCCACACAGAGGATGCCGGCTGAGGATGGAAATGACAAGAAACCAGCCAAACAAGTAGCTCTTCTCTGCTCCTCCTGGTACCCACACTCCTCCTCCCAAGCAGCCAGGGACAGGATAGGGCTGGGGTGGAGGGCTTTTGTTAACCTCTCAAGTTCCTACGCAAGTGCCAAGGACTAAAGCAGCCTTCCCGGTCTTCCAGAGAGCCGGGATCACACACAGCGTCGTGTCCCTTGGAGCTCAACCACTACTTGGGGGGCAGCCAGGGCTGTCCAGGGAGGGGTCGCAGAGGTGCCCCATGACCTATTCACAATCTCCTGTGGTTGGGCATCTCAGAATTTCCAGCTTTTCAGAGTGGTTGCAATGCATTTAATTTTCTGATTTAGGAATAAAGGCCTTTGTGACGTGGCTACAGATGTCCCACTGGGTAAAGGCCTTGAGTCAAAAAGCAAGCAGGCTGCCTCAGGGGAAGCAGGAACTGACAAGTGTGCTCTTGGGGACAACGAGGGAGGGCCTCAGCCCTGACAAGGGGAACAGGGGCCCCACATGCCACTCCCACACGCTGCAGGCTTGAAGGAGCTGCCGGCAGGGCAGATGTTAAAAGGACACTCTCTCCTCATCCAGAAATGTACCTCTGGGCCCGAGTCCTCCTCTTGCTCCATAGCTAGAAGTGAAACAAACAAAGTGAAAAGAAGAAAGACTGGTTCCGAGCAAGTGGCCCCCCGCCTCATGCTCACGTGCAGAGCAGTGCTTCCAGCCCTTCCCCTGGGCTCCTTTCCACATTCTGAGAGGAAAACCCTGATGAAAAACTGTTCTCCATGAAGAGAAACTCATTTCAGCAGCAATCAGGGTCACTTTCCTTTCGGTAAATAGCCCTGGTGCGAATGCCCAGGAGCCCAGAACTGCAGCCAAGCCTGGGGCTCCTCTCTTCACCAGGCCAGTGAACGGGCAAGCGAGGCCGCAGTTCCGGGCCTCGGGCGGGCACTGGGGCTGGGGCGGGGTGTCTGGCCGTGGCCCGCTGTGAGCCAGACCCTTCCTAGTGGCCTGTGCCAGAGGGTTTCCCATCTGTGGCTGAGCCCCGGCGGTGGGTGTGTGGGTCCAGGGGGTGGCGAGCTCGGGGACCAGCCCTGCACACCTGGCTTCTGGGCCCTGGGGAGGAGTCAGGTCTAGGCCTTCACCCTGTGGCTCCCAGGCCCCTTAGAAGGGCGACAGCAAGAGAGGGTTTGTCTCTTCCAAAAATCCCTCCCAGAGAAGTCAGGGAGCAGAAGGCAGGTGCGGGGTCTCGGTGCCTTTGCTCACCGGTCAGACGTCCTGGGTCTGCCCCGTCCCAGGGAAACCCTTTCTTCTCGGATTCTCCTCAAGGGCCAGCAGCTCCCTGACCCCACTCTGCCGCCCAGTCATGGCCGGGCCGTTCTCGCCCTGGCCCCAGGCTGGCCGGAAGCCTCACGTTCCCCACCACCTGGGCAGCCCGACACCTGCCACGGAGCGGAAGCGCCTTCCGCGG